ACTATAACTCCTATAAGCTACCATTGCAGCGTCTGCAAATCAATTTTTTTCAGTTTTGGAGTGTTTTGCTTTTTCATTGAAAAATAAATGCTTCTATGCAAAGACAACACTTTCTGTGGAAAAAAACCTTGTTTTTATCAAAACCTCAATTTTCTGTTGCATCTTTTTGACAGAAAAGCTCCAGCAACCCTACAGAGAAATGAAGAAACAAAAATCAGTTTTTAAGTGAGGGGGGTGGGGTAAAGAGGTACAATATCTTTCTAGTGTTACAAGCAGTTAATTTAACAGAATCTATTTTTAATAAGATGCATAAGCTGTTCCCAGGTTTCTCATAAGCTTATGGTTGTCAGTCAGTATGGTCTGTCATTGTGTGTGCTTCATTCAGTATGTTCTAGTGAACTCTCAAAATCTGTATGCATCTGCTACCACCTACTAAATGCTGCTCGCATATTCCTTCTTTTCAGCAACAGTCTAGTTATCTGACACACAAAGTGCTGTTTGTTTGTGCACGTCACTCTTGTAGTGTGTGACACAAAATCGTTATAACATAATACATTATTAAACATGTTTTCCAACTGAAAAAGATGAATTGACAGTCTGTCACCGAACATTTTTTTCACTTTAGAAAGGTTTATAAAATTAAGGAATACATCTTGACTGGTGTTCCACCCATCCGTGGGTGTAAATAGAACTGGTCAGCTATTCAGAGCAAATCATTTTTCTTAAGGATTGTGTGCTTTTTTTTTTTTTTGTGATTTACCTATAAGCAGATCATGAGTTTAATTACTTTGTCATGCAGAATGGTTTGCCAGCTAATTTGTGTGAATATATTTCATTTTTAGTGTTTTCCTCATTTTGACTATTCATTATTATTCACCATGTGTGATTGGTCAACTTGGTCATATGATATTCTCTCACCTTTATGGATGACTGAAATGTTTATCAACAGGAGGAGAAAAATTGGAGATTTCTAGATGCCAGTGTGAATATGAGAATGAGTTATGTACTTAGAGAGAACCTATTTACAAATGCACAATTGTAAGACTTTCACTTTCTGTAATCATTACTGTGATCTATCATGTGAAAAACAGAATTGTGTATACCACCAAAGTCATCCTCTGTTTTCATTCTAATGTGAATAATTTTGTAGTATTCACAGAGGTCATATTTTGGAAAATTAAGAGAATTAATTAAGGAAGTCAGCTGGACTGGAAAACTCAAGGATTTAAATATGGACAAGTCTTGGAATTTCTTCCAATCAACAATATTAAAACCTGTCAGAAATTTGCTTCCCAAGAAAAGGGGAAAATGTGTGGGGAAAGGCTCCGGACCCAGCTGCATGAATATGTACCTTAAAAACGTTATTAGGAGTAAACACAGAGCCAATGGTACCAGAAAAAGAATTCATCAGCAAAGAAAGCCATACCTTAGAAATTAGAAAATGTAGGGATAAAGTAAAACTTGCCAAAATAAAGTGGAATTAGTTCCTGCCAAGGAAATTAAAATAAATAGGTTTTTCAGTTATATAAAAGAGAATAAGAAAGGATGAGTGTGGGCTACTATGATGGGTAAATGGCAAGGAGATTAAAGATAAACTAGCTAAGGCTCATATACTGCATTAATACTTTGGTATATTAAAAGGTCTCGGAGTGTGAGGGGTATGGGACGGGGAGACTACTTACCCAGTCTGGTGGCAGGCTAGATGGCGAGCCCAGCCCCAGCTCACCACTCTCTTTGTGGAATGGCTGCCCCCAGTGGTCACTCTGCAGTAGTGCGTCCCTCCCTTCCTGTGTTTTGGAAAACAGTCCCATTCATGGCACTGCCCACTTTCCTGGCACAACCAACCCCTGTCCTTGCTTTAAGATATGGTAAGAGGAAGCTGCATACTAAATTTGGTGACCCTACCTCTTACCATTTAGGAGGAGTTCTTGAACAAGATTGTGGAGCATCATCAAGACAGAAGAGGATAGGAATATTATACAGAATATCTGGATGAGTTTGAAGATGGGAGTGACAGAAATAGAATGAAATTTGGTGTTGCAAATGCAATGTCATGCATAAAGGATTTAATAATAATAATAATAATTAATAATTCCGCAGGCTGGGGACTCACTAATTGGAAGCGACATAGAACATTGAGTATATGGGACAATCACAGGAAGACCTAGGTGCTAGCATGACTGTGAAAAAAGGCAAATACGATCCTGAGATGTATTAAGTGAGGCATTTCCAGAAGAGATAGGGAAGTACTAATGCCATTGTAAAAGATATGGATGGGACCTCATTTGGAATATGGTGTATAGTCTTGACCACCTTTGTTCAAATAGGACATAGTGACCATTGGTCTCATGTGGCACTGTGCATTCTCTCTGCTAGGTGTTTCATTTACTACTTCTTGCTTAGAGGTCTGTCCAACTGATCACTGTGAATATGGGGTTGCGAAGCAATCCCTCTTCTCTACCCCAATTCAGATTCACAGTGACCTTTTGGGGGTTTTGCCTTTATTGGCAGCATGAAGGTGCAAAGATTGTCAGGATTATCTCTGTATATGTTATTTAATCATATCCCTGCCACTATAGATGACTCAGGCACTGATGCACCACAGTCTCTCTTATGCTCTCCTTGTAATAAATAATCCAGTCTCTTATGGGCTCTAATACTTCAGTCAAATTTGGAATATTGGGTTTACTGGGTGGCTGGGGGTGGGTGTTCATGGCCTGCGATGTATAGTAGATCCGACTAAATAATCTGCCGTCCCCTGCTGGTGTTAAACTCTATTATTCTAAATTCTATGTGTCGCTAAGAGGGGACTTTGACCCAAAGCATTAAAATATGACTGGTATACCCCTCTAAAACACACATTTCTGAATACATCAGTTGGAACTAGCCAGTAACTTGAGAGTGAATACATTAAGTTAGCTCTTGTCAAATGTGTGTGACAGGAAACATGATAATACCTGTATATATATTTCAAGGCCTAGAGAGGTCTTGTTACTTACATTTGTTCTCAATGTTTTCCACAATGTCCTTGAAACATTCTAACCATGGAGTTTGGCTGATTTTAGGACCCAAGTTTTATAAGGGCCATCACTATAAGGTGGAAATATGTTTTAACAATCTGACATAATTGCAGATGCAGGACACTAAGGTAGTATCCACAGATAGCACTAAGCAACAGGTATTTATATGGAGACTTTTACTAAGACTGTGTACAAATGCAGTGATCAAAAATTAGCAAGGGTGTTTTCTTAAACATTCTAGATTTCTGTATTGCTAAACATTAAAGAAACATTCTACACTCTTCCGTCTTTGACAACTCACCTCTAATTTTGTTTCATTTTTCATTTTATTGAATTGAAAAATTAAAAATGTATATTTAAAACCAATTTTTCATTAAAAGTATTGAATAATTTTGATCAGCTGTCTCCCTCCCTATATATATGTATAAGTTGAAAATATAATGTACATATAAATTCATATAAATGGACTTATATGATGATGTTTTGGCTTTAGACCTTTTTAAATCCAAACTCTGCTAGTTGAATGAAATTCAAGTTCACTTCAAGCGTCGAAAGTCAAAATTTAGTCCTGAAAGCTCATTTAGGCAGAAGATGTAGATGAAGTATTTGAATGTTTGAACCTCTGTACTGACATATGCTTCATCTCTATAGTTTATTATATCCTGCTAAACTTCTGGATACTAAAAATAAAGCTGTCAGCTTCCAGTTGCTAATTCATGTATTTAATTAGAAGGTTAGTGTTGCTGTAGAAAAGTGATAAAGCACCATGGCACAAGGAACCAGAAAAGATAGCTGACGTTCTGTAAGAGTTAGAGGAAGATTCTTCAATAAGTTTTGGTTCAGTTTCTGCTCTTTTAAGGAAGCATGTTTGTTTCTGTAAAATGACAGCAAAATAATTTATCTTTGGAATATTCTCAAGAGACTTGTAAAAGTGTGAGAAATATGTTTATTTGGTTTGTAGGTCTTATTGTAATTATCTTTCAGGACATGAAATACCTTGGAACTGCAATAAAGTAGAAGAGGAAAGGCCTTTCTTTCTCTTGACCCATGATTCTTACCTGAAATCAAATAATTAATTCCTCAAAGAGGAACATGGCCTTTTGTCTATACAAAAACTTATATCCGTCATCTTTGAAGATGACTTAATTGGGAAGGAGTCATAACTTCTGATAGAATCTTCTTGCCTCTGCACTAAGGCCAATAATCCAAATAAAGACCTTGAGATAAAATTACAGGATTATAAAGCATACACGGAAGCAACATCATCATAAGGGTAAGATGAGCTGAACTGAATCTCAAGGCTGCATCTACGTTATAATTTTTTAGACAATCTCAAATTGCTGTATTACAACAGAGGTAGCTTTCTTCAATGTTAGCAATAGTAAAAGAGCTAGTGTAGGTAGGGCTCAGAGATTTTTACTTAGTGTCCTCTAGCCCTGCCCAGACACTACTTTAATCCTGGCTCAATAATTTGGATAGAACACATGCATTAAACACTTTTACAGTAAAAGCATATTAGTAAGACATGAGTGAGGTTGGAGTTAGTGTGGCATGAATTTGAGGCTGTTTGTTGGCAGATCGGGGCAGTCTGGACGCGTCATGGTTGACAAGGAAGCCTTTGTCGACCGGTGCAGGTAAACTTGGTTTCACGTGGCATATCTGCGCCGGTCGACAAAGGCTTCCTTGTCGACCGCGGCGCATCCAGACTGCCCCGATCTGCCAACAAACAGCTGATCATCAGCTGGTCGGCAGAGCGCAGCAGCCATTTAAATTTAAATGAAGCTGCGATTATTTAAATCACAGCTTCATTTCCCTCTGCCGATCAGCCTAATCTACATGGCTCTGTCGACAGAGCCATGTAGTTTAGACACACCCCAAGAGATGGCTGCATTTCAGCACTTATTGCATGTAGTCTGTAAAGCATTTTTGGATCCTTCAGCCTAATATTTATTTGCATGTATTCTTTTCTTTTATTTAAAGGTCTGAGCTCTTTGGAATCTCCCACAAATATTCCTTCTCTCCCCTCTGATTTCTCTGTGTGGAATTTAACCTGGATCATGAAAGACTCTTCCCCTTTCTTCCCTCACAGAGGACAGCATGGTAAGTAGGCTTATTCTCTGTTCCTATGTGACTTTAAATGTTTTCAACTACTAATGCATTGATATAATATTTATATAAAGTCAGATGGTTTATGTTAAAATAACCAGGGTTCCCCTGCAATCAGATAGACTCTGCATGTACTGAAGGATCCACATTAGCAGATCAGATTGCTGGGTCATAACCACTACACTTTTAATTTACTTATATTTTGGTTGGCCACTAAGGGTGTGTCTACAGAGCAGGGCTTAACTCAAAATAAAATACGCAAATTGAGCTACATCAATTGTGTAGCTTATTTCAAAATAGCTTATTTCAAAATTGGGGGCGTCTACACAGCACTTATTTCAAAATAGAGCACTCTTTCTTCCTCCCCCCCCCCTTATTCCTCATACAACGAGAGTTACAGGAGTTGGAGTAAGAAGTCCTCTAGCTTGACAGTATTTTGACACTATTTTGAAATAACTGCCTGCTGTGAAGACACGAACTATGTTATTTCAAAATAACGCTAGTTATTTTGAAATAATGTTGCTGTGGAGACATACCCTACATGTGTATCTTTAATTGCAAATGCTTCTCGTACTTGGAGTAGAGAATGTATTCAGCCTACTGTTGAGGATAGGGATCATTTTGCAAAATTTGGATGTGTTACATCACCTTCACTGGGGTAGCATGTGAGGGGGATGGTTCAGACTTCTCTGATATGACCTAATGAATAGTAATATAAAATCTCATTCATACTGTAGAATGCTATCCTGGTGTTTTTCTGGTCAGGGCAGGACTGAATAAAGATACATCCAGTATGCAATTGAGTAAAGGCACTAAAAGAGGATATATCCACCACCAGTTTCCCATGAGAAGAGATAAGGTGGAGAGAGGCTAATAAGATTTACTCACCCTAAGCCTGTAATTATCTGCTCGAGGGAAAAGTTTGACCTACCTATATGAAAGAGTCCCATATATCTTCAATTTTATGTTGCAGCCTTTTATGCTGTGCAATATATATTATTTGTGCTGACATACAACAGCTAGGAGCATATATTGTATCTGCTTGACTGATGAGAATGTACCAATTTCATTTTAGAAGGGACAGTAGCAAATTTTTCCCCCTTGGCTTTCACAGAGGCTTCAAGGAAGATTTTATCCTTAATTACTTATCCTAACTTCTTTAAATTTCTCAGAAATGTCATTCCATGAGAAGGGCTTGTTCTAAGAACCTAAAGTCATGTGGATTGGTTCCATCTAAGGGAATCATATGTAGATAAATGTACTGTATCTAAGTTGAAAATTATTTTTATAGCTTTTGGCTGATTATATAATCTATGAAAACGAAGTTCTGCCAATGCCCAACCCATCATTCCGCAGTGAAAGGTAGGAAATCGATTGGATTGGTTATACAAAGATGATCCCTGCTCAGTGTTCCAGAATTGGAGGAGAACATTTTTGTATAATGCTTTATATTTCCATAGCTCTTAAAAATCTCAACTAACTTAAAGATCTGAATTTGGGTCAAATGTTTCCTATCCCTTACAGGATGTGCCGTTCAGAAGGGTTGGATAGTCTTGAAAAGGGGCTGAGTGCTTTTTGTCACCATTACACCAGCCAGGTGGGGGTGAGGGAGGAGGGAGGTTTCTGGGGTTTCCCAATATTGCTCTGGCTTATGTGTCAGCTTTAACTTACACCTAAATGACAGTGGACCTCAAGCCACCATCCAGCAACCTGGAATACCTGTAAAAGTGTGTGTTTTGGCCATATCCCTGTATCCTGGGCACACCGTATCTGGGGACTGGATGTTGCATGTTTCTCTGTGAAACAGAGCCATTACACTAGCCCCAAGGGAACATAGCAAGAGAAATAAAGGTGTAAAGGGACTGAAAGCAGTCAAGCCAGGGTCCTGTTTATTGTTCATCTTACTTTCCTGGCTGGAGACTTCAGTATAGTTCATCCCTGCCAGAGGGAGATGGAACCTTTAGTATTCAAAGTTATGACATCCCTCTCTCTATCTAAAGGACCCTAAGTCACAGCGGAAATCATTATGAAAGATGGGAACAGAACCCAGATCTTCGTAGTCCCAGCTCCTTTGCTGTCTGAAATGGCAGAGAGTCAGAACAGCACCTCCTCTGGTCTCATTTCATTTTAACTAAGAGCTAATTCATCCATCTATCTAATCTCAAAGGTTTTTTAGGGGGGGAAAAAAAGAGTACTATCAAGGCCTTCTTGCTTCCACTTCTATTGTCTCCTTTGGAAGGCCTCAGTATGCTGTTGTCTTTCCCTGCCTCACTTTGATTGGCTATCTGTCGGGTCATACTATAATGCCTTGTGGTTTATACAGACTGCATTTAAAGGGAGAAATACTTTGCAGTTCTATGATTTCAAAGCACTTTGCAAATCATTTTCTCACCTCACTCCCATGAAATGAGTAAGCATCTCCATTTTGCAGGTGGGGAAACTGAGGGGCAGAGTACTTAATCTATTGCACATGCCCAGCATCACTCTGCAATGATCAGATACTTTCATTTTTAATATATTTATCCACAGAACAGCCTTGGAGAGAGTGAAGTATTATACCCATTTTAAAGATGGGGCTCTCAGACACATAGAGTAAGGCCTGACTCTACAAAGTTAATTAAGTGCCTGATTTTGAGACTTAAGCACCTGCATCCCATGCGTGGACAACACTGTGTTCCACAAAACTCCTGCTTAATTGCTGCCTAAGCTGGCAAATGCCTAAACTCAGTGGCTGCGTCTAGACTGGCATGATTTTGCGCAAATAGTTTTAATGGAAAAGTTTTTCCGTTAAAACTATTTGCGCAAGAGAGCGTCTATACTGGCATGTGCCTTTGTGCAAAAGATTTGCTTTTGCGCAAAAGCATCCATGCCAGTGTAGACAATCTCTTGCGCAAGAAAGGCCCAATGGCCATTTTAGCCATTGGGCTTTCTTGCACAAGAAATTAACGTGGCTGTCTACACTGGTCCTCTTGCGCAAGAATACTTGCGCAAGAGGGCTTATCCCTGAGCAGGAGCGTCAGAGTATTTGCGCAAGAACCACTGATTTTGTACATTACAAAGTCAGTGTTCTTGCGAAAATACTCGCGGCCAGTGTAGACAGGTGACAAGATTTTGCACAAAAGCAGCCCTTTTGCACAAAATCATGCCAGTCTAGATGCACCCAGTGCTTGAATGTTTTCTGTAAAAGTTCCCTAAGGGCCTATATTTCTGTCTCTGGGCATTACACTCTGCTACTTCACTCTAGAGCCTTGGATGTCTAAGCCCCAGCGCATCTTATAAGCTGGGGGAAGACAAGTGTTCCTCCACCTAAGTCATGTGCAAGGCCTGATCTGGTGGTAAATTCAGAGACTGCCTAAATCTACGTAGAGCAGCTTAGGTGGGGAGAAAGAGGACATTCCTTATAATCTTATGTTCATTGGCAGAGTTCTTATCGGAGAAGTAGGAGACCATCAGTTCAATCCCCTACTCTGTATTGTGAGATGGGATTTGAACAAGGATCTGCCACCTCTCAGGTGACTGTGCAAACTGTTGGGTCAAATTCATGGTCCATTTAGGTCAATTTCATGGTGATCGTATTTTAAAAGTAATACATTTAATAATTTTGGCTATTTAAATCTCAAACTTCACAGTGTTGTAATTGTAGGAGTCCTGACACAGAAAAAGGAGTTGTGAGAGGTTTGCAAGATTATTGTGGAGGGGAGGGAGTTTGCAGAAATGCTACCCTTCCTTCTACACTGCTGCAGGTGGCAGTGCTGCCTTCAGAGCTGGGTTGCTGGAGAGCAGTGGCTGCTGAGCAGGAGTCCAGCTCTGAAGGAAGAGCCACCAGAGCAGTAGGATGGCAGTAAGAGTGGCAATACCATGCCATGCCACCCTTCATTTTGAGCTTCTGCCTTCAGAGCTTGGTGGCAAGAGAGTGGTGGCTGTTGACTGAGGACCCAGCAGTGCAGCAGCAATGTAAAAGGAAGGGTGGTGTGGTATGATATTAATTATGGTATGACCCTTATTTCTGTGCTACCCTCACTTTTCTGTTGCTGCTAGTGAGATGCTGCCTTCAGAGCTGGGGACCTGACCGACAGCCACTGCTCAGCTTTGAAGGCTATGAAGCTTGTACGGGTGGCAATACTACCCCCCCATAATAGTTTTGTGACCCCCTTGCAACTCCTTTTTGGATCAGGACCCCCCAATTTGAGAAACTCCCTCACAAAATCAGTTTAGTATAGGGTAAAAGCATACACAAGACCAGATTTCACTGGGAGAGACCAGATTTTGCAGTCTGTGAGGTGTTTTTCATGGCCATTAATTTGGTAGAGCCCTAGCTATGGGATATTCTGTGCTGGCACTTTCTCAATCTCTCCTATTTGAAGTTTTTCTCCTTCAGTTAAATAACTGGGTAGTTAGGGTATGTCTACACTACCCTCCTAATTCGAAATAGGAGGGTAATGTAGTCATACCGCAATTGCAAATGAAGCCCGGGATTTGAATTTCCCGGGCTTCATTTGCATAAAGCCGGCCGGCGCCATTTTTAAATGCCGGCAGTTCGAACCCCGTGCTGCGCGGCTACACGCGGCACGGAGTACCTAGTTCGGATTAGGCTTCCCTTAGATATTAATTAGGCTTGAGAGAGAGAGAGAGAGAATGTCTCAGTAGTCTAGTGATTAGGGCTGTCTCTTGAGGTGACAGATCTCTGTTCAAATCTCTTCTTCTATCAGCCCGATGGAGGAATTGAATTGAAGGTCTCCCACTTCCTAGGTGAGTACCCTAACTGCAGGATTAATGGTTAAAGGGAGGGCCTCCCCTCCCCTAGCTCTTTTATGCAGATCTAAGTGGCCTCTGAGCACACCAACTAGATCAAGACGCACACATCATTTAGGCATAGCAGCTATTTTACATAAGTACATAAGAACATAAGAACGGCAGTACTGGATCAGACCAAAGGTCCATCTAGCCCAGTATCCTGTCTGCCGACAGTGGCCAATACCAGGAGCCCCAGAATG